TGCCGGCTTGGATCTTAATGCCCATCACCAAGAGAAAGGAGTATGAGTAAGCCATCAGATGAGGCCAAGACAGAGTGATTCAATTAACTTGGGCTTTCACCTGCTCTCCATCAAAGGATAGGCCTCCAATGTGATTAACTTCAATCAGACCATCTGCTGTCACCCTTGTAACAACAACACGGTATTTTAACCAAGGGGGATCATGTCAATAGTTGACAACCTAAGGTATCTTGTCTAGGTTTATTTTCCCCTCATCATCATGAAATGAAAGATACATGTACAGGAATTTCGGTTTTGCTTCAAATTTTTTTTTGCGAATAGGATTGTGTGTATTCTGAGCAAATACATATACAGTTCAACCTCATTAATAAGGGGTCCTTTGGACAAATTTCCTTGTTAATATAACAGGAATGTATTATCAAGAATGAATAAACAAATGAAAACAACAAAAGACTGGAACTGAAATATTTCCTTGTTATAAGCAGGATCTTGCAATACTAACAGTGTTCTTATTAACAAGGTTCGACTATACACAACTTCAGAACAGTGCTCTAGCCAAGCATTCAAAAGCAAATCGGGTCGATACGCTGAGCAAAAACCCTGACACGCTGAAAATTGCCCAATATGCTTCTATTTTCCAGGGGAACAGTTGCTAATATTAAGTTAAAGAAAAATTGCAATCAGAAATTTGAAAAAAAAAGTTCTTTTAAAACACCGACGAGAAGTCACCAGAACATCGGCACAATGCACCGAAATCGAACAAATCTTCTACAACACAGCATAGCTAGCTAGGTCATACACACACATGTACATGTAAGTAAGATTTCACAGCTCTGTGGAGAATCATGTATGCGCGGCATGAACAATACTGGTTCCCGCCATGCCGCTGACAAGGTAATACAATAGTAGACGGGTCTGGAGCCAGACTACAGCTCCAGATTGTGCACAGCTTCAGCTGCGATGGCATGGCTGGCAGCACGGTAGTTGCCCAAAAACTGATCAAAGTAAACTACATGTACATGTACAACTAACTTGTCACAAAACCTGGTCTTTCTCTGTAGTTTCTTCTAATGCATTTACATCAATGGTTATTTTGAGATACATGTACTTTGTCGTGGTTTACGATGACGATTTTTGGTAAGAATTGACACACACACACGGTCTTGGTGGCCGGTGCATGCATAGTACTGTACCACATCCATGCACAGTCTTGCAGTGTTTTCGTATCGATCTTCACATTTCCTTTGTAATTTCGGTATCGTTAATCGTTCTCATTTATTTTTTGGTAGTGTGTCTTCGTTATTTTTAAGACCAAACTTTTTATTGTTTTTGGCACAAACATCTAACCTTGTGATAAAAAGAATAAGTTTGGAACGATCATCCGACATACAGACATAATCTTTTTAACAAAAAATTTAAGAATCTCGCAAGAACAAACAATGGTAGGGGCCTAGGTGAATTAAGTTAATTTTCAAGCAGGCATGCCTGTTTTTGTATGTGTATACATAGAATAATCATACATTTTGAGATAAAACCCCAAGAATCTATTCAGATTAAAGTTTTTCAAAATGAAATGACAACCGAGGTGTAGGCCTATTAAGCAGTTATTTTTCATTGATACACATCAAAACAATTTCATACCATGGAGCTTTTCAAACCAGAACAAGCACATGTAAAATACAATTGTGTAGTAATGAAATACGGACCAGATATTTACATGTATTAGACATTTGCCTAAGATTTCCTCAGCAAAAGCTAAACAAAAACACAAAGCAAACCCCCCCAAAAAAAGTAGAGAAAAGGGTAGAAAATAAAGTGTAAAACTGATAATTTTGCTTGTTACAATGACTGAATGACACGGATTTGGGTAATGGGAGCTTAAAACAAAGCTGTTATATTTAACATAATAAATTTTAAACAGCGCCCTTGGGTGTCAAATAATATCCAGTCCCAACACCCCTCCCCCATCCGGCGCGTCGGGCAGATGCCCCTATCCTTTAATTTCATCCTGGCTAGAACACTGCTTCAGAATACACTCAAGAAACCTGTCCTTCAAATCTTTATATCCCAAGCCCTAGTTACTTGGATAGCCAACAGTTCCTTCACAATCAAAACTATCATGAAACAAAACAAAATAAAAGTATGACCCTTTTCACAAATCCTTACAAAATCCTTGCACCCGAAATAGAATACCCATTTCCTGATGTGCCACACAAGTGACTTTCAAGGCGGAAGGTTTTGTCAAGCACATTCAACTCACATTAACGAATGAAACGCTTGAAAAAGCCATAAATATAAATAGCTTCAAAAGAACATGAAGCAAACGGTAGGACTGTTGAAACTTTTATTCTTTAGGCATTTTTAGAACATCCTGTTTTGTACGTATGCAAATCAGTTTCAAGGTGCCACTCTTTATCTACAACCCAAATGGGCCCATAATATTAAAAGCGAAGATGATAAACTCACTATACAGTCTGTGTGTAAATGTCCTTTAAATGCCGCTGGCTGCTTGTGGGCAGTAATGACTATTATTATCCTTGATTGATGAGTTTTTAAACCTTGGCCTGGGGACAAGTACATGTACATGTACAAGTTGGTCATGAATTGTGTTCACCTTGGTTTCACTACAGACAGTTACCGTAGTTACAGGGCTTGTGTTTTCAGGTTCTCCCATTTTCAACCACAAATGGCCAGCAACTACGTTTCAACCTCCCACGGCAGCAGTCATCAACAGGAAATTTAGTAATGCCTGAATGCCATGTTTGTAGGCTTGATTTCACTGTACCAGCATGAGAGCGGTACAATCCTGCAAAGCACAGACCCACAGCATCAAGGTTCTTATCTTCCGGACTTCTGCACAATGAGCCTTTTGCCAGTTAAATTTGAATAACATCTGGTACACAGAGTTTTTTCAATTCACATGAACATAACAATGTGAATTCTCCACGCTACAGACACAACTGCTATACATGTACCTCGTGATTCGTGGCAAGCTTATGCTTAGTTACGTAGGAGACGCCTTGCACCAATACACTGTTTTCAATGGAGCCAGTAGCAGACAAACCTTTGACCCATTCGTTATCACTACATGTACTGCAATATTGCCACTTTGTCTTTTTTAACATTGTGGAAACTACATGTATACCGTTAGTACTGGTACATGTACTTCATTCTGTGCTGTAACAAACATTTAGATGACTGAAGTTTCTCTTTCCATTTCAGTACTGTACGCTTACTGACAGTACATTCCATCATCTGACAATAAACCAATCTCCCGTTCCTTCGCCATGCTGATTGTAGCACCACTGCAGGATGAAGTGAGCAAGGCTAGAAGGGAACAAATTGTCTACAAGAACAAACGCAAGCAGCAATTTGCCAAACATTACGCAAAGTTCTTGTCATGAATTTGTTCCCCTTGATTAAATCTTCTGAGCACGTGCACATGAAACGTGAAAAAAGCTTCTGAAGCAACTCCAACCATGGGCAGATTGAAAGGATGGGGGAAATGGGAGCAACAGGGGTCATGGCCCTCTAAAAAGAAGCTGCACTCTCATGTGCAGACAATGAACCCCAGACTTCCAGGGGTACCCGTAGCCTTGTTCTGTTCCACAACCTATAAACACTTGATTACTAGGCTATTATCATAACTAATGCTCTGAACGGGTTACAAAAGAGGGCGTGTTTTTCAATAAAAATGACGGTCCTTTGGTAGGTCCTCACTGAGTAGACATGCAAGTTTAAGGGCATTTAGAGTGGGGCACACTGAGTACATGCAACGAATATATGCTAGAATGTTTGGCCTTCACGTGTGCACTGAGTGCATACAGGAACCCAGTTGGAAAACTTCTCACCAGCCTTTCTTTCTTTCGTCTGCGAGGGAAACTTCAACTCAGAACAAATAGTAGCCAGGCCCTTTATTTCACCACTAAGACCTACTGTGAAAACCAATCAGACTTGACAAGAGGTAGCGAAATTAGGGACCTGGCGACTACATGGTCACGGATATTATTGCACAGGCCTACTCCCCTTGGAAGGATTGTGAAACTTCCACACCCCAGAAAAACTTTGTCAATTTGCAAACATACTCCTGAAGTAAAGCTGCACCAGCAAAGTAATCGGCCATAGTGCAAGTGAAATCTGTGCAATCTGAAAATCCGTGGGGAACTGTATATTTGGGGACCCCGTTCTTATAGGTGACAAAATTAGGGACCTGGTGACTATACCGTCACGCGTCACACACGTTATGGTTGATGTTGTGAAGAGAGGGCAAGGTTTTGAGTTTACAGGGAAAAACAAAATTGCATGATTCGACTGAGTGGTTGTCTTTTGCCAGACTTGGTTTAGAAATTTGAAGTTTTATTGCTTAAATATTGTCAAAATTTACCTAAACTAGGCATATCGGGATTGAGTAAAAATGGTTCCTTAAGGTCAAATAGTTAGAAAAAGTTGACTATGATTTCTTATTATACATGTAGGAACAGGGACGCAAATAATGGTAATGAACCTCGAAATTATGAGGGGAACTGTGTTTCAGCACGACACACGGTGGATTCAAATTTATATTGCCAGTTAGTGGTTTATCAGTAAGAAAGTCACAATTTATCACAATTTGCAATTTGAAATTTCCAAATAAATTGGGGCAGGGCAATGAACATGATGCCGTTACCTTTGGTGTTGGAAGGGGTCCTGACCAGTTTTACATGTAGGCCTAGGCCTATATGAAATTACAAAAAACTTGGGGGTACCCAAATATACAATCCCAAATACCGGTACTTGCGCCAATTTACACTTAAACTGTCCAAACTTGCCAACCCCACACTTGCACTTTACTGCACTGACGTACATGTACAACATGTACAATGTACGGTACTTAGTACTTCGTTGGGTAGGCTACCGTACGTAGGCCTATATTATATATACAGCTCGCTATGTACACACAGTCACACGCACGTAACACACATTTTCGCAACTTCGAAAATATCTGCGATGAATTCCCCTACCTTTACGACGTTCTTCTCGACCAAGAATAAAGCTAGAATCATCCATATCTGTACAAAAAGCCTCATGGTGTTATCGGCCGACCGGCCCGGTTATTTCTTCCCGATTAACTGTTCAAGAATGTGACAAACCTCCTCTCAAAAGTTTCACCGAATGTCACACAGCGCTAGCTAGCGAAGACTGGAACTATTTCCTTTCGCGCACAATTAATTTATATGTTATGCGCGGATGGGGGGGGGGTTCTGTGCATGCACGGATATCAAGAGAGCTCCTGCGCAGTGATATTATTTTCGATATTAATGGTGTACTGGTTAAGGTATCGTCAAACTGTAAATATTTAATCACGATGAATGTTGATTGTTTTGAAACTTACATTTCATCTACTACTTTTATATCCCCTATGCTCTCATTTTAACATTAGTTTGTAAAAAACAACCGGTATATTTTCTTCAAAGGTGATGAGTAACAAAAAAAAAAGCTTTTCGAAGTTTTTAATGTAGCAGTTCCTTAACAGGTGAGCTCGGACGTCAAGGATGTCACAATATAACTTCCGGGAAATTACTAGTGAATCATATCACTGTAATTTGCTTGGAACTTTGATGAGAAACGAATGTGTTGTGCAATTTCGTTTACCTCACCCATCTCCTGTAAAGGAAACAATATAGAGATTTCTTTTTCGTGTTAACCTAAAATAGACAGTACAACTTTATTATGACCCAAAGGCTGAGTTCGGCCGGCTTTCTCGTATGTTCACGAACAGCTTAATTTGTTGTTCTTGAATCAGCCGCTCAAACGCCGATAACGTACAATGGTTATTGCTGGTAGTTAGTCACAAGCAACATGCAACATGGCGGCGTCCAAGTACGTTATTCCATGGTTATTCGAGAGTTAATGTTTGGATAACTGGGCTGGATTCTTTTCTGTTTAAACAGGAACATTCATTTCTGTGTTATGAAGAATAGTTAATGTTACTTTAGCAAAATTTCGTATACATGTAGCCTCTGGCTTTGTAGGCATCACTGTACTTTTTGCCATGTTTGCAGATGTTCAAAAATCAAAATCTCACGAGTTTTTCCGTGTGTTCTTGTAAAACCCTGACGAGGAGGAGGTGTGTGATCCAGAGCTGTTCCGAGAACACAGTTCTTGAGTCGTGTTCCCACCGTTCGAGCGCGAGAACGAAGAACCTGTGTTGAGAATAGGCCGCCCGAACTCGACTTACATTAACAATGAACATGAACAGAAAACCTCATCAGTACCCCTACTGACAAACGGCCCACGCAGTTTTGATGGTAAGAATGTAGCTTTGTTTTATTTTTTACCATAAAACGTTCACTTCATTTTGCAACAGATGCGTTTCTTCTGGCTACGTACCAGTGCGAACAATTTTTCCCGAGTAGTGTGCAGGAAGGGCGCCATCAGCCATATCACCGCATAGGTGGCGCCCTCACACACACAAATCCGGTAAGTCCCAAGTTACGGGATGGAAATAGTGCCCCGATGGACGGTTTCTATCATTTTTCTGTCTGCTTCATCACTGATGAGGAGAAAATGGTCCAATCAAGAAAATGTCAAAACTCAGAACCAGAGTCCCACGTAGGACCGTCTGACCCATGCTCAGTTTGCTCAATTAATTTTAAAATCTAACAAGGAATGAGGAGACAAGTACAATAACAAATGCTGCAAGCTGACATCAGCACAACTGCGATGATCATGTATACGTAAATGAAAATCTCTTTTACGATTTCAAATATTTCAAGTTCGTCGCATTAAGAGTCTGAACAATTTTCAAAAGGGATTTCACATGCTATTCGACACAGTTCGAATCTCCACAATGTTACGCGGTCATAACCACACGATCAAGTATCGGCATGGGCGTCAATCGCTCTTCAAAAGAGAGGGAAGGACATAATTTTGATCAGAACGAATGTGGGAGCATACTGTCCGAAACGTCGAGTGAACCCCGGTTCTTCTCAGAACCACACACACTCACAAAAGAGAAATATATCCACATGGTGTCACCGCAAAATTGTCCATAGTTATCACTTCTACCATGCATAGCCTCAAGTCTCATCTAAAACAAAACAAAACAAAACAAAACAAAAAACACGTGGCTGCATGCTTCTTCGATTATGTGAAGGTTTTGGATGAGTTAGGCATCCTGCCACTTGATGCTAGTGGCACTTTACATTGGCCGGGAGGTAAAGATGACCAGTTGACCAAGAACTTGTACTGGGATTAACAGGCAGCTGTCAGACATATTTTAGTGGGACAGTGAGCGAGTGTGTAATAGTGGAAAGGGTAGTAAGCCAAAGCAGGATCCTATTAACTGATTTCTTCTCACTGTAGGCCTATACAGAGTTGATGCTAAGAGTTTGTTTAGGGATGTAAACGTCATTATGCAGAATATACAATAATAGAAATGGGGCAAAAATGGCAAGACCTCATCGTTGGCGTGGTAGATGCAAGTGGAAATAGGGACTTGATATCAACAAGGAGAAGTCATTTGTAATGGTACTTTTAAAGCCAGCAGCAAACTCAAGTTGTAACACAAAGGTGCTTAATTTAAACAAGTCCCACAGACAGTTCCGATCGACAGAGAGGTAAAGCACCGGATCAGGATGGCAGAGACAGCTTACATTAAAATGGAAGTTCGCCGTGGCATCACCCGAGGTCGCGACAAGATTACCTTTGTTAAAAATGCTGTACATACGGATGTGAGAGCTGGATGATCGCAGGATCATGCAGGAACGTCTTCGGGCTACCGAGATGTAGTTCTTGACGACACACCGAAACCTCTCAGCTAGGCGGATGGCAGAGGCACTTCATGATGGAAGTACTGTGTTTTGATATGGCTCGTTAACCTCCACCTGTGACGTCACACTGTTGTTTCGCCGCTCCATTACTTTACATGAAAGGAGCGATAAAGGCGATAGCCCTCCATTCGTTCGGAGGTATTGCTTCCACATTGTAGGCTAAAATAGCCAACCTCTTCCATGAGGAGTTCTTCAATCATATACATCTCAGCGATCCACCTATGAGAGCTGGCTATACTGCTGAAAATTTTTACTCCGCATACAATGGAGAAAAACATCCCAGCAAGATTTCAAGATCTAGAGCTAGTCGACCCTGGACTACACCCTCGCCCCCTCATTCGAATGATCATAAAGAAGGCCAGAATTAATGTACAAGGCAAAAGCTTCTAATTCTAGAGATGACTGGGATCAGTTTAAGTCATTTCGTAAGATTGTGCAGAAAAAGATCAGAGCCTCATACTGGTCGTACACCAACCGCAAGTTAAACGGTTACAACAACCAACAGAATAAAATTTCTGGCGCTTCATCAAAGCGAAGCGGCAAGATAACCCGAACATTTTACCCTTGACACACAATAACAGGATGGTTTCAACAAAGGCATAGCCAGGATCTTGGATATACAGTTTAAATCTTCCTTCACTTCTGAAAACTTGTCTGATCTGCTGTCAATTGTCGAGACTCCTATTTCTGAGGTCCAGGATATAGAGATCTCTGTGGATGGTGTGTGTGAATTGCTGAAGAAAATCAACACCACCAAGGCAACAGGTCCTGCCTTTTCCAGCCCGCTTTTTGAAAGATATGGAAGAGGAAGTTTCCCCTATTTTGGCATCTATCTTTCAGCAGTCACTGGATACTGGTGAAGTCCCTCATGACTGGAGGATCGCCAACATAGTGCTCATAATATACAAGAAAGGGGATGCAGAGTAGCCGCCAAAAACCGACCAGTATCGCTTATATCAATAGCATGTAAAATCCTCGAGCACATCATCTGTAGAAACGTGATGGTCCACTACGACGATCATGAGATATTAATTGAAAGTCAATATGGATTCCGCCATGGTCGCTCTTGTGAGTCACAGCTGATCACCGTTGCCCATGATTTTGCCGAAGCCCTGGATGACAGAAAGCAAACAGACGCCACTTTTCTTGACTTCTCCAATGCTATCGACTAAGTGCCCTACCAAAGGCTCCTCCTTAAATTACATCACTATGGAGTGCCTGGCTCTCTCTTGAATTGGTTCAACAACTTCCTCACTACCAAAGCCCAACGAGTTGTGGTAGATGGTGAAGCCTCGTAGTGGACAGATGTTCTTTCTGGAGTGCCCAAAGGTACGGTACTAGGTCCATGCTATTCTTAACATTCATCAACAACGTATTAAAATCTATCACTTCATCTTTACGCCTATTTGCCGATGATTGTCTTATGTATCGGTCAGTTAACACTGTGGATGACTGCAGAGTTCTTCAAAAAGATCTTGATACCCTGCATTCTTGGTCAGCAAAGTGGCAAATGATGTTCAACTCGGATAATTGCCATGTGATGCAAGTCTCCCACCGCATAAACAACAAAAACTTTGACTACCACTTGGGTAATGATGCACTGACGCCAGTTAATGAACATCCTTACCTCGGTTTAAGCACGGACCATTTACCCAGGGATGTGCAACCGCGAGCGGCCCCAGTGCAAACACATGTGCGACCTTGGTTCCATGCGTGTTACGGATTGTTATTGACCCCCGCAGGCAGTCTCGACTTTCTCGAAAAAACTCGCGACCACATGACACGGGTTGCAGCATGCAGCATGTACAGTGCAGCCGTGGTTATGCCGAGACTACGCGACGCGCCGACGCGGTGCTTACATCTATTCGTTTTGACGAATAAATCTTCTTCATTTTTCGATTTCAAGGAGAAACGAAGTTTTAATGAGGCAAAATTCCCCAATTTTGTGGTACACTTTTCTCAGAATGTATATGATGAAATATCTTGAGCAGCATATTTTAGAAAGGGTGTACCCTGACCATGTGATTCTACCTCCATGCCCTGACTTAAAATATTACAAGAAAAAAAGTTGTAGACAGGAATATAATGTTTTATTATTAGAGAAAGTGTTACATAATCCAACTTAATTTCTGCTTTGATATTGTGCCGGCCGTAACACGCACTGAACCAGCTCTGAGCTTAAGTTACACATCCCCAGTGGGTAAATGGTCCTGGTTTAAGCTTCACATCCAAACTCTCCTGGAAGAAACACATATCAAACATCACCTTAAAGGCCAACTGGATGCTCGGGCTTATAAGCGGAATTTGAAGCACTGTCACCCACGCTTGAAACAACAAGCTTACATCTCTCTGGTCAGACCACATCAAGAATACTGTGGCGAATGCAACT